TACTAAGGCTGGCTGGTCTCCAGCGCATCAGTGTTTGTTGTCAACATTGATTTTGGGGATCACTGGATCATCAGCACCTGAAAGGTGCTTTAGTCAGCTCTTATCTTTGGATTTGAGTCATCCTCAGATAAAAGAGAAAGCAGAACCCGCGGCCAGTCAGAGGCGGCCAACAAAGCTACTCTGTTTCATAAGCCAAATCCAATGGTTTTGGGGACAGGATTACTCAGGGGATGGGTGATGCAGTTTTTCACCTGTGGGTCACTGGTTCAAATCCATCCCAGATCAATAGTGACCGAAAATCTGGAGGCTGTTTGGTAGCCTCCCTTAAAGCGCCATCTCCAAAGCCCATTGAAAGAAATGGAAAGACTCTCATTAACTTGAATGGACTTTGGATCAGTCCCAAAATGTCTCACTGCAGTCCCTAATAAACATGCCTCCACATTGCAATTGGCACTAATTGGCCCCTGGGTTGGCAGTCTCAGCAGAGATTGACTGAATGGTCAGGGACAATGTACTACGCTCCCAGCTCTTAGAGAGGCTCCCTGCAGATTGTGATGATAGAAGAATATTAGTGGGACAGCATGGGGAAGTGGCACTGCCGTCTCCTATGCCACACCTGTCTGGCTAGAGGATTTCAGTCTGCACGGCACCTTTCAGCAGCACTAACATCACATTTTAAAAAGCCGATTAAAAGGGCATTGTTCCCCACACATTCCAACTTCCAAATGAGGGTGCAGATTACTATTCCAATGCAAGGTAAGGCTCGGGCAACGCACGCTGAATAAAACAAGTCTTCGGCCGTGCTACTTCTCATCCCACTGGCAAGAGCATGCTTGGCTCTCACGCATAACTTACCTAAATGGATTTTGTCACACTTTAAAATTAGAAAGGGCTTAGTTAGTAAAGTGTCAGAAGGGGCTGGTTTTTATGGTACCCACAGATCCATAATATGCATGGCACAGCTTTTCTCATCAGTATCCTAGAGCCCTGTTATGCTTGTTGTGGAATAGTCCTGCCGGAGTTCCAAAAGTTAAAATGCTGGCTTCTTGTAGAAATCTGCACCCAGTATTGGGGAAAGGTAAGGTTGTTGTAGCAACGGTCCTAATCATTTTAACGGAGATAGGAAATTTCCAATAAATTTTAATGTTGATATGACCCAGGATAGAATCTATAGTCAGATGCATTAATCAGAAAGTAATTATCTTTTCTCTTAGAGATTTCTAACTTAAAAAATACAGTTCAGCAAATTGACTGATATGCTGCTGTTACGGAATCACAAATCCATGACAGTAATCAAAAAAGAAATTGCAGAATAGAAAAGGGTGGTAGGGTATTAAGTGATAGTCTATTAAAAAAAAAGTATACAATTTTAAGATGTAAAAGTGTTCTTTTGAAGATTAGCTTCTAATCACCAGGTTCAATTGCACTGCATTTTGGTACTTACAAACACGAAATTACATGCTTCATAAATAATGAAAGCTCAACAATGCTAACCTGAGCTAGTCCCAACTCACAGAAATATATAAGCAGTTTAACAGTTTTGCTTTCATTGCTGTTCTCCCTGAACAGCAGACTTTGGCTAATATGGTTTTTATTTAAAAAAAAAATTGTTATTTCCGTCCCTGTGCCCCTCCCCCCCCCCCAAAAAAACCCCAACCTGACTCTGACAAGGTCACAGGGAACTCTGAAGTGCCAGACTACGAAGAGTTACACATATTGAAAGGTTTGCACCTAAATCATCATTAACTAAGTGCAGAGTGAGGTACTACAAAGGTTTGCAGATTTGTGATACCCTTGGGATTCTTCACGAACACTGCAGATAATACAAAGAAGGTTAACTCTATCCTCAGTTTGTCAGTAATCATGAGACCCCTGCCATATATCTATGCTTCCTCTCAAGAGGGGTAGCCGTGTTAGTCTGGATCTGTAAAAAGCGACAAAGAGTCCTGTGGCACTTTATAGACTAACAGACTATACCTGCCTCTGGAAATTTCCACTACATGCATCTGACGAAGTGAGTATTCACCCACGAAAGCTCATGCTCCTATACGTCTGTTAGTCTATAAGGTGCCACAGGACTCTTTGTCGCTTTATGCTTCCTCTGTCACCCTTTACCCCAAACACCTGTTGCCTTGCAAAATGTCATTTGCTGCTAACTTTGTAGACTTCATATTGAAGTGAGTATACAATTCTAGACTTATTGACAACACATTGTCCCGTTTATCTGTCAAGTGACGACAGAGTACTGGTTGTTTTGCACCAACTACAAGGAACATGGTTGTTTCTTTTTTTAAAGATTGGATGACCCAAAAAATATGATCAACTCTACCCAGCTATGTTTTGGGTTATGGACATACATAGGCAGAAATAGTGTTTTTCTCTGCTGGCACTGCTAGGAAGGCAACACATTCTTTCATCCAGACATGGTGCATACCCACCCCCCAATAATACAGATTATATAAAATAGATCAGATCTAGAGTTTCAGCTCTGAATACCTCCGAACTTTGTGGAAGTTCAGATCTGGATCCAACTTCCCTCAAGCCTCCCTCAGTTATCAACAAACTGGCAGAGCTCACCTGCTACTTGACAGTGAGAACTAGCATATGAAAACATTCCTGCAAAGCAACGCGTTTATAAAAAACATGGCTAGAATGTGATAGGTGACCACAATCCCAGATGGAAGCAGCTGTTTCAACTATGATATCTACTGCAGCATTGGAAACTAGAGCCGATAAAAAAAAAAGTGTGTGTGTGAGAGAGAGAAGTGAAAAACTATTTGGTGAAATAAAGCATCAGAATGACATCTGAGTTGTTTTAAAGTTGGTAAATTACAATAATAGCCTATATCAGTTATGTGTAGTTCTGACATGCACAACAACACCCTCAACCTTCACTAATGGCATAATAATTAACTGGCTGTCACTAGGCAACAATCCAAGTTCGTTTTATTTTTAAACACTTCATGATTGATTTTTCTTTTTCTTTCAGTGCTAAATAATAACACGTGTCAATATTTTCTAATTGATGATCTAGGAGCAGACACTGGGCAATCAAATCTTAGATGATTATACTTCATCCCTGACAGTAAGGTAATTTAAGGGGGGAGGAACCACGCAATCATTGTTTCCAGTGTGAATCTGGAGCATCCAAGTGTCTTCTTAGATGAGATCAAGGTCAAAGAACTACATGTTTTTTGAAGCATCTTCTCTGTATAGTGATTATGGAGTTATCCTTGTGAGCAGGGTGATGGAAAATAGATATTTGGTTTTACATAGTGTTTTTCATTCTCCACGTACTTCACATTCTTTGGAAAGTGACACATTGTGACGGGTTGCCCCTCACATAAATCAGAGCCACAGTTCGAAAGCAATACAAGCTTCCAGTTCAGGAAGAGGCTTAAGCATGGGCTTAGATTTAAATGGTGACAATGGGAGTATACGTGTGCTTAAAGGTAGGCAGGTCCATAAGTACCTTGCTGAAGTTGGTGCCCAAGGACACCCTTGTGTGCTATGGTAGGCGTGAGGTTGGAATACTGGGGATGTCATGACCATGCACTCAATCCCTGCTCTCCTTGAGGTTAACAGCAAAAACTCTATTCAAAGGGAGCAGGATTAGACCCTATGCAGGCAACTGTGGAAGCCTTTATGCACACACTCAGCAATAAATGAGACAGCTTTGGAGTCAGAAGCAGTTTTACTGAGATACTCGTGTAGAACATCTAGGTACATACTCATGTAGACACACACAGGATAGACTTTACTTGGTTATATTTTTAATAAGTTAATGAAGCAGCTTGACTTTCAGCCTTGAGAGAGAGTGAAATAACCTTTCACCCAGTATCCCAGATGCGGTGACAGTTCTGCACATTCTTCTTATTTTATTTATGAAGCCTGGCCCATCTTGAGGAAATGTGAGCTTGAGACGTGTGAATGGGTAAGGAATTACATTTGTATTTTGTAACTCAAAGGACAACGGGTCATAGGTTATGACCTGGAAGACAACAGGTCCCAACAGTCAAGAGTCTTAGCTGTTCACCTAAACACAAGGGTTTGAGATCATCTGGGTAGAATAATCCCTTCCTGCTAGTCTCTAATTTTACTTATCTGGGAAGGAGACAAACTCGTAACTAAGAAAACACACCTTAAAAGGAGAACGCCTACTTGTGTGATGGCACACAAGACATTGCCTGGTTTCCCAAATGGCAGCTCCTGACTGACTATGAAGCATCCAAGACCAGCAAGCTAAAGAGCAGATACTTTTTCTAAGTAACTTTATTCTTTTTGTCTCCTTAACAGGACATTTGAACACCTATGCAGGGATGTGTACCAGGAAAGACCTATCCCAGTCTTTTTGTGGGGAGGGGGTGTCCATTAATAGTAATAGCAAGTGCGTATATATGCAGAGTATAAGGTACCATTAGGAATGGATTAACCTATGTTTAAAGCAAATCTTATCATAGATCTCTAAGAATCACTTGGGATACATAAAAAATTGAATCTTAGCCTATTCTTTCCACAAGGGAAAATTAAAGCTGCTAAGTAAACCCCATAGAGATTGCAAGTTTGATAAGTAATTTAATCATTTGTGTTATGTTAGCTTTGTGATTTGATTACTGTTGCATTCATGCAATAACTTGACCAATTGTTGGTCTTAAGTTGAATGTTTCGTAGTTATCCAATTTGAAATTGTATTACTGTTAACAGTTTGATTTGACTAACTCAATTTGTATTGTAATATCAATATTAATTATATTCTTAATACTTTAGGGAAATAAAATAAATTATCTCACTTTGTAGTTGTTAGTGTTCTTGAATGAAAATTGTAACTGGTTTTCTCTGATCAGCTAGCAACAAGGTAAGAACATTGGACTCAAGTCCTAAGAAAAACCTCATCATTGGAGTGGAGCTCTTCCCTACCCTTTTGCACAGAATGTATGTACCTTTGCTGCCATAGTTGTAAACAACATTCAGACCTCGCAAAGTAATGGGTAGTTCCTTACCATGGCCAAAGGCAGGACTCCTACAAGATCCTTCTGGCTTACGTAGATCTTGGAGACTCCTAGATCAGATGTCGTATCCCCAGGATATTCAACCTGCCACGTGATAAGCTGGGTCCCAGGTAGATCACTTAGGTCTTCAATTTCAAAATCAATCTGCATGATCTCTGAGGAAGGACTGCCGGCCCTGGAAAAAAAGAGAGAGATGCCTTAATTCAGGTGAGTGACAAACCAGCAAGATAATTGCATCTATACTAATAAATCATTGGATTATTGCTCTTCCTAAGAGAGGACTTATGGGACGTAGGAATTAGAAATAAATTAATTATTTGCATGTATTATCCCAGGATCTTAGTGTACTTTACATACATTCTCTAGGCCTCGCACCTGCAAAATTGGTAGCTAAGTACTATCTGTGCTTTACAGATAGGGAAATGGAGGCAGAGAGAGGTTAAGTGTTGAGGTTAAAGTCATAGAGTGGGTTAGTGGCAGATCCAGGAATGCCTGACTCCAAAACTCTGTGTTCCAACCACCAGATTATATTTCCCCCTTGTTAAAAGCAACATGCAAAAAGAATAACCTAGAGGCAGTTGCCCACTGAGATGTGAGACTAGTGTAGCCCCTTCCTTCGAAGCAGCTTCTGTCCTTTGAAAAGGGGAGGATGGAGGAAACTGGAGGCTATTTCTGGCTCTGCCCCGTCTCACTGTGACACCCTGGGCAAACACCTTAAACTCTCTGATATTCAGTTTCCTCCATCTGTAAAATGGGGACAATAGTGCTTACAGCTTTACTTCCTCAGGGTGTTACAAGGCTGGCTTGATGTTGGCAAAGCATTCTGGGATCTTTGGGTAAAAGGTAGTAGAGAACTACAATGTTTTATCGGCGATATCCCTGGATCACCTGCATTAGAGTGTCTGATATATCACAATTACAGGGCTGTTTATTTGTATAATGTATCTTTTGTACACCGTGTTACAAAATCCATTAGAGAGCAAATGAATCACAACCAAAAGGGTAAATGGAGGCTGTACAGGAGAGATTTAAAGTGGGGAACTGATCAGGGGCTCAGAGGATTAGATCCTGTAAACCTTGTGATAAAATCAGCTACTGCATAGGAAACAGTGCGGTAAAGATTCTATGGACCACTTGCTTTTATAAAGGGGCCCAAAAACCTCAGGATGTACAGTGAAGTTCCCTAGCACTGCAACATTTTGAGGGATATTGAAGCTGACAGTGATTTTACTCCTCAGCCACTGAAGGCCATTTAGTGGTCTTTAATGCAGGTGTGTAGGGGTGAATGGTGAAGGTTGAATCTATTTCAATGCAGGGATGAGACCCGAAGGCTTGAGAGGAAGGAAGGAATGTCACAGTTACAGACGGATCACAAGCTGCTCGAGCAACCCTGTCTCAGAGGGCACAACTGGAAGAGAGAGAAAACAGCAAGCGGCTGATGGGAAAACTTTTAAACCTTGCAATCTTCCCTGGTTGCTGTAGGAAGAGAGTTAAAACTAGTCATCTCTTTGATCAGAACCAGTTGTGACAAGAGCCCCAATTCAGGACTGCTCCCAAAATGCCCAGGTTTTTTATCATTTCAGCTCTCTTCAATTCCTTGTCTAAAACCACTGCTTGGAGATTTTAATCTGCACACCGCTGAAAGTCTGGACTCTAATGGATGTATTGAGTCATTGCTGTCACACAGAGAATTTAAAAAAGGAGCCTTTGCATCAGTTCCACACTTGCAGAATGAATGTCGCTGAATGATTTTACATTTTATTCAATTCCTCATCACTTTATGTCAAACCCATGAGAGTGCAATTTGCAAACTAATACTGAATGCAACAATATTCTACCCTGACCTTAGTGGGACCAGAAAACTGCTTTATGCAGCTGCAGCAATTGAAACTCAGTTAGCCTTACTGTATAAACAGGAACAGACCATGCATTACCCATAAATGCATGATACTGATCTCCCTTTGCACAATACATGCCAACTCTACTTCTGTTAAAGAAACAAATTTAATCATTGTACGGGCGCATCCTGGTTCTGAGCTCTCTTTCTGGTTGCCTTTTTTTAATCTTTTACTGCACCGGTGGCCACTGCGCTGTAGAATTGGTGCTGTCACAGGCAGTGTCTCCTGTCAGTCATGGACATAATGTGCTACTGGGGAGGTTGGCATTGCAGAGGAGAAGGCATGTGTAGGCTAGTGGCAGTTGCAAGGAGAGGATTTAACAAAAAGAAAGAATCAATGAAAACTTTTCAAGACATGGAGGGGACTAAAAGGCAAGAGGGAGAAGTGAACGGCAGAGGAAGCGAGGGAAAGATGAAGGAGAAGAGAAGGGAATTGGATGATAGGATAACAGAAAAATGGGAGAGGCTAGAGAAGAACAGAGGAGTCTCCATTCTCCTCCCCACCCCTCCACACACACCTTTTTGACTCCTTTAAAAAAAATTTCTCTTCACACTCTGTACACTTACTTCCCTCTTCCCGCCTCTATGCCATCCTTCTCCTCCTTAGCTCCGGGTATGTCTACACTACGAAATTAGGTCGATTTTATAGAAGTCAATCTTTAGAAATCTATTTTATACAGTCGATTGTGTATGTCCCCACTAAGCGCATTAAGTTGGCAGAGTGCATCCTCAGTACCGTGGCTAGCATCGACTCACGGAGCGGTGCACTGTGGGCGGCTATCCCACAGTTTCCACAGTCTCCGCTGCCCATTGGAATTCTGGGTTAAGCTCCCAATGCCTGATGGGGCAAAAACATTGTCGCGGGTGGTTTTGGGTATATGTCGTCATCTCCCCTCCCTCTGTGAAAGCAACTATAGACAATCATTTCGCGCCTTTTTTACTGGGTTACCTGTGTAGACGCCATAGCACGGCAAGCATGGAGCCCGCTCAGTTCACCGCTGCTGTTGTGAGCATTGTAAACACCTCACGCATTATACTGTAGTATGTGCAGAAACCTGGCTAGGAGAGGGTAGCACGAGGACGATTGTGAGGAGGACATGGACACAGATGCTCCCGAAAGCACGGGATGTGGCAATTGGGACATCATGGTGGCAGTGGGGCTGGTTGATACAGTGGAACGCCGATTCTGGGCTGGCAAACAACACATAGTGTTACAGGTATGGGATGATTCCCAGTGGCTGCGAAACTTTCGCATGCGTAAGGCCACTTTCCTGGAACTCTGTGAGTTGCTTTCCCCCGCCCTGAAGCGCAGGAATACCAAGATGAGAGCTGCCCTGACAGTTGAGAAGTGAGTGGCGATAGCCCTGTGGAAGCTTGCAATGCCTGACTGCTACTGGTTAGTCGGGAATCAATTTGGAGTGGGCAAATCTACTGTGGGGACTGCTGTGATTCAAGTAACCAATGCAATCACTGACCTTCTGCTATCAAGGGTAGTGACCCTGGGAAATGTGGAGGTCATAGTAGATGGCTTTGCTGCAATGGGGTTCCCTAACTGTGGTGGGGCGATAGACAGAACGCATATCCCTATCGTGGCACTGGACCACCTTGCCAACCAGTACGTGAGCCACAAGGGGCACTTCTCAATGGTGCTGCAAGCACTGGTGGATCACAAGGGACGTTTCACCAACACAAACGTGGGATGGCCGGCCCGGGAAAGGTGCATGATGCTCGCATCTTTAGGAATTCTGGGCTGTTTGAACAGCTGCAAGAAGGGACTTACTTCCCAGACCAGAAAAGTACTGTGGGGGATGTTGAAATGCCAATAGTTATCCTTGGAGACCCAGCCTACTCTTTGCTCCCATGGCTCATGAAGCCATACACAGGCAGCCTGGACAGTAGTAAGGAGCAGTTCAACTACAGGCTAAGCAAGTGCAGAATGGTGGTAGAATGTGCCTTTGGACGTTTAAAAGCTCGCTGGCGCTGTTTGCTGACTAGGTTAGACCTCAGCGCAACCAATATTCCCATTGTTATTGCTGCTTGCTGTGTGCTCCATAATATCTGTGAAGGTAAGGGGGAGACGTTTATGGTGGGGTGAAAGGTTGAGGCAAATCGCCTGGTGGCCAATTTTGAGCAGCCAGACACCAGGGTGATTAGAAGAGCACAGCTAGGTGCGCTGCACATCAGAGAGGCTTTGAAAACCAGTTTCATGACTGGCCAGGCTACCGTGTGAGAGTTGTGTGTGTTTCTCCTTGATGCAAACCCACCCCCTTTGTTGATTTTAATTCCCTGTAAGCCAACGACCCTCCCCTCTTGGGTCACAGCTGGCAAAGAAAATAAATTCACTATTGTTTTGAAACCAGGCATTCTTTCTTTATTAATTAAAAAAAAAGTGAGATAACTGACAAGGTAGCCCGGGTGGGGTGGGGTGGGGTGTGGGAGAAGGGAAGGACAAGGCCACATTGCTTATTGTAGCCATACTACAAATCAAAACTGTTTGAATGACAGCCTTCTGTTGCTTGGGCCATCCTCTGGAGTGGAGTGGCTGGGTGCCTGGAGCCTCCTGGATATGGAACTTGTGTGTCCCTATTGTAGCCTCTGTCCATCATGCCCTGTGCGATTTTGGCATATATATTAGCATTTCTTCTTTTTGATCAGAGTTCTGCCTGCACAGATTCTTCTCCCCATACAGCAATCAGATCCAGTGTTTCCCTTTCGGTCCATGCTGGAGCTCGTTTGCGGTTCTGGGGGGACCGCATGGTCACCTGTGCTGCTGAGCTCGCCACGCTGACCGAACAGGAAATGAAATTCAAAATTTCCCGGGGCTTTTCCTGTGTACCTGGCTAGTGCATTGGAGTTGAAAGTGCTGTCCAGAGTGGTCACATTGGAGCACTCTGGGATAGCTCCCAGAGGCCAATAACATCAAATTGCATTTGCACTACCCCAAATTCGACCCAGCAAGGTCGATTTTAGCGCTACTCCCCTCGGCGGGGAGGAGTACAGAAGTCAATTTTAAAAGCCCTTTATGTCGATGGAACTGGGTTGGTTGTGTAGATGCATTCATTATAAAATCGACATAACATGGCTAAATTCAACCTAACCCCGTAGTGTAGACCAGGGCTCAGACACTTATCAAGCAGGGTCCTTAACCGTCTGCCTAGCTTTAGTCCCACTGACATCAATGGGATCAAGTGCTAACAGTTAGGCTTGTGCTTTTGTACTTTGTTAAATCGGGCCTCAATTTTTACCCATCAGGCAAAACTCTCCCTGCAGTCACTGGG